GGCTCATAATGAGCTGATTATTGCGCCAGGAGTGCAAACTGGGGACTGCTGCAGATAATTGACTTAAATGAGCTACCAAGGAAGCTGCCTCACCTACTTATCGCTGTATATATATATAATATATACAGAGCAGGGCCTTCTTAGAGTCAAATGTCCGACTTAAAGTGCCCGCCGCTTATGAAACATAAATTCAAGAAAAAAACAGCATAAAAATCGATAACCTACATTTGCTGCAACTCAAAAAAAAAAAAAAAAAAAAGAAAAAGAAAAAGGAAACAAACAAAAAGCTCCAACAATATATATGAAAAACTTCACGTAAAGAACAAAGGAACAACAACAACAACAATTAAAGCATATAACAACCCTCAATTACGACAGCGAATTTCGGTTTACTTTGCCAGCATGTGTATTTTTTAATTAGAACAAAAAGGACGCACGAGGATATGCTTCTTGCTGAATGTGATGAATGACGAGACGCATTGAAAAGAAAGGTAGCAGGTAAAATATTTGGGAGGATTAACGGCATTAAAATTATGCATGACATATTTTACAAGTCTATCTTAGTAGATTCGAGTTCAAGCAACTTATTGATTCCAAAATTAAGATACTCTAGACGAGAGAGCTCGACTGGGAGATACCCTGTTTGTTTAAGATTATAGCACATTTTAGCTAACAAAATCTGTGATTCTTATCCGATCTTAATGCAACTTTAATAGTTGATAAATAATAGGACTATATAGGTATAGGTTTATTATGTATCAGCTGAAGGCTATATCTGGCTTTTTCCCATTTTTAATGGGTATCTGTGCAAACATAATCAACCTCTTACCTAGACAGCAGTCACGTAACTCATTCATATCTTGGCTTGTTGCTTGTCTGAATGATGCGTGTATTTGCTTATTACTAGGTGTATTCACAGGACAAACAAAGTCACGTGTCCTTTGCCAATATGTGAGTCTACTTTGCCTTAAAGACAGCAAACATGTGCCTTAAAGAAAAACTCGAAACAGACTATTGTGCCTGGGTGAAAGGGTCCTCTGTGTGTCCTGTGTCCTGTGTCCTGGTCATGTCAGTCGCATATGCTAATTAGGCAATTAATATTTGTGGGCGAGACAACTTAATTTATAGACCAAGAAAGCATATTTCTGTCTTGTTATGAAATGCGATACTTTTACAGCAAGCGAGTCCTTTTTTAGACCTGGGTGTGAGTGTGTGTATGGGTGTAAGTGTGCGTGTACGTGTGTGCGTCATGCGGCAGGACAATAAACTTATCACATGTTGCCAACGCTGGCGTCCCAAAAACTTTTGCAACGAGTTGAGTTTGATTTGCGGTCGTGCCCCCAGCTCACAAATATATATAAATATATATATATATTTATATACATGTACACATACACATATATATAGACATATATCCTTGTTTCATCCGGACTGGGCTGACTGGGCTGTCAGAGCACTGATATGCGGCTCACTGGCATATTATTTTGAGCCGCATCAGCAATAATAATAATATTTTCTTAGACACTTCAGTTTTCGGCTGCATGCCAAGCATAACTTGCCACAGGTTGCGCCAGGCTACAGTCAAGAGAGGGACAGGCCTTGTGGTCACCCAGTGAAGCATGTGCAGCATCTGCAAGATGCATGCCCCTCAAAAAAAAAACAGAAAGTCTTGTTACTCCAGGCGACATTTGTCAGACGACAAACGAAGATTGAAGTGGAGTCGACTTGGACTCTAGTTGGAATTTACTTGGATTCTAGTTGGAGTTGAGTTGGGGCTGCGGTTGCTGCTCAACAGATTTGATTAAGTTTGCTTGTCTTGAGGCTGACACAGGCTGGGCAAATGGGCAAATGGGTAATGCGATACATGCCAACAAATAGAATTTCTATGGAGAAAGAGAGAGCGAAAACTATGAAATTAGATTTGAAATATGTAAAAGAAAAGCTACTTTAAAAACTACAGCTACCCATAACTAAGCTCCACTTGGAGCAACATTAAATCGTCAATAAATATACATATGCACTGCTGCCTGCTGCTTACAAATTCGCACAAGGAAATAAGTTAATCGTAAGTCAAATAACTCTGAGCAATTTTGCAGCTGCTTCAGCGAACCAAAAAGCAAAAAAAAAAAAACAAATTGCAAAATGTAAGGTAAACACACGGCTCAGATCAGCTTTTCAGGTAGGTGGAACGATAAACTTTTCCATTCGAGTAAAGTTCGTATTACGTATACGTAATGTGGCAATAAATGTTGCGCTCGATTAAAAAGCCATTGCAATCTTTTTGGCGCTAAGGCGCCTCAACGAGAGATACGATACAAGTAGGAGAGAGGGGATGGCACGAGGTGAGCGGGGGTGAGTTATAGCTCCTTGTCTGAAATCTGTTGGGCCAACAAAATAAAAAAAAGAAATTGTGTAAACTCCAGACAGACACAGCAGAGTGTGTGAGCAGAGTGGGCGTGTGTGTGTGTTTGTGTGTGGAGGTGTGTTGTTAACGCGTCAGTTACAATACACATCTTGCGTATACAATACAAAATCCACCCACATCCCCCATCCACCCCGCTCCACCTACTATTCATGTGCAAAGTTGGTTGCTTAAGTAAGTGCTTGTTATATTGCCGGTAGACTTTGCAACCGACGATTAACTGAAGCCGGAAAAAAAGAAGTGCGTTAAGTGGTTTGAGCCATGTGAGAGACAGATGTTTAAGTCAGACAAGTTAAGCCTTAAGTTGTAGCCGAGTACGATATGTTTAAGATGAAGATAAAGATAAAGAAGTTAATCCTAAAGTTGTAGCTAAGTAATTCACAAGTGATATGCTTAAGATGAGGATAAAGAAGTTAAGCCTGAAGTTGTAGCTACATAATTCGCTAGTGATATTTTTAAGATGAAGATGAAAATAAAGATAAAATTTTTTATTTTAATTAATCCCTGTTCTGCTTAAAGGTTTATTTTATAGCTTTCGGAAACAAGTCCAAAACTAACTCTATCTATTCTTATTTCGCTCCATATATTTATCTTTAGTTATTAAAGCCACATCTCACATAATATTTCCTCCTCCTCCCTGAACTTTTTGTCTACATCTTTCGCAATATGTCTTTCTGTAGCTTTGAAAAACACATGTCACATAATATTCCTCTCCTGTTCTCCAAACTATCTTTCTGCATCCTTCAATTCCTCTCTAGTTACATAATAATATTCGTCTGCTCAGCTTTAAGCCCTTCTCTCCCACACTTGTATCTGCCATCAGTAAATGGCGCTTTTTGTGTGGCTGGCCGAAAGGCAACCCGAAAGCAACCGCAAACAACAAATTTACAGTTTACGTGTCCTTAATTAGCAACAAGCATGAAAAAGGCTGAGAATGAGCGAAAAATAAATGAGTGCAAATCCAAACTAAAAACTCGCCAAATAAATTGTGCGCTGAAATAGAAAGCGCGCACAAAACTAAGTAAAAAGCGCACAGCAACAAAAAAAGACAAAACAAAACAAAGAAAAAACAAAGCAAAAAACTTTTTTAATTTTATTTACATTTTTATGATAGAATTTAATTTTGCACAGAGATTTTCCATTCGTCTCTCAAGTATCAGGCTCTATTTCTTTTTTTGCCCCCTGTGCAGGATTTATATTTTTTTTTAGTATTTTTTAATGCAACAACTTTTGTTGGTGCTTGTTTTTTTAGACGGTTCTTGTAACGCTTGCGTCTCACTGATTCCTTGATGAGGGCTGGCAGATTGATGCTTCAACTTTTTGCTTCCTAACTGACGGCAAAGGAGGGGCGACAAATGGAAACCTCCTTCTTAAAGGTGTTTCAGCTCAAACTGCAACTGCAAACCAGTTGTCAATTATACCCGTGTTCATTGGCCATTTGTCCATTTGTCCACTTATCGCCTTGCTAAACATGTGTGCCAATCACAATGGAAACAACAGAAACAGGAGTAACAATCGCTGACCACCAACTGCGGTGTTTTGGACAATCAAATGACCACTTCAATGACTTGAATTCTGCATCCCTCCCTTTTCCTACATCCCCTACATGCCTATATCCTGTCCATGTGATTATTATAAGCTGATCAATTTGTAAATGAGCCTTGTCCAATTTAACGCAACATTAAAACTGACCTTAGGTCATTTGCCAAACAGGCTCTCGAGCGCGTGCCCTCAACTCCTGAATCGGCAGCCAACCGGTTTTTGATCCCTAGAGAGAACACATAAATGCACATGGCATCTCTCTCTCTCTCTCCCTCTATTTCTCTCCTATCTCTCTCTTCCTCTCTCTCTCTCTCGCGCTGTTTCTGTCGTTTTCCCCTATGCAATGCAACCACCGAAGCCCGACGACATGAGCCTGCACTCAACCATTGCCATTTGTCCTGTTGATAGTTCCTGGACAGGGGTCAGCGGTGTTGCCAATTGGTTGCATGACATTTTCATTTACCGTTCCCTGCTTAAACATTTATATTTGTGTTGTCCTTTGTTGGTGTTGCTGCTGTTGTTGCCACACAGGAGGGGCAAATGCAGTGCTTGGCATGTGCAGCACCCGGGGGCATTGAATTCTATTCAGGGTGTCTGCTTGTGAACTGAACTGCAATCCACACAGCATAAGAGACAGAGAGATTGAGAATAAAGAGAGATAGCGAGAGAAATGCCTGTTGTTCTTCAAGCATTTCATCTCACTGTGCAATGTCACAATAAATAAGATAGAATGTTTAAAAATCAGAAAATTATATCTCAAAAGGTAAGGAATACTTTCATTAAAAATACTTTAAATAGAATGGTTTGTCCCTACGCAATAAATATTATTCTTTTAAATATTGTTGCTATGCGAATGAGAATCCTTTGTAATATTCTTAAATCTTTTGTTATTTCCTCTAATTACCAGCTCAGTTATGCTAGTAAAAACAAAATCAGTTGCTTTTCATTCACATTCATTGAATTGTGACTAAGTATAACAAGTAATATTCCAATATACAGTCAAGTACTAACTTTAAATCTCAATTATAGCCGCAATATGTTCAAGTTGGTACCATACAGTCAATACCCTATAAATGTGAATGACTCGTTGCAGCGTGCGCGACGTCACATATCCTTTGTAAAGTTGTGGAACGAAGTGAGTATTGCCATTGCAAATATATCCAATCTGCGCCAAGTCTTAAATACCCTCCTCCCCATCAGAGCATTTGTTACTATCCTGAGCAACTGAACCCCAACAGCATTGACTTGTGTCGCTTCGTAATGGACACTCCAAGTTGTGCCTATTTTGTGTACTATATCGACTATCTGAAACTTATGTTTTGCACTCTGGATTTGAATTGGCATTCTGCATATATGATTGTCGTGGTTTTAAGCTTGTTATTTGGCTACAGCCTGCTCTACATGATCACCAAGTATTTGTGAGTGTACAACTCGATATAGATACAGATAGATATATAAATAGATATTATGCCTATATGCAGCTGCCTGCCCAACTTTATGATGCTGATGAAGCTGCTTCCCATCTCCTCATATGCCTATAGTTTTGTCCACTTTGGTTTTTGTCTCTTCACGTGGAAATATCTAAATTTCTGGCTAATTTGCCCCTATGAGAATGAGTATAAGGCCTCGTTGATTCTTTCCAAACAAATTGGTGATGCTCTGCGCTACTTTGTGGTGGGCATTATGGTTCTCTGCTTGAGTGGTGGTCATCGTGTGCAGAGTGTGCTATGGTGGAACAACATGGCATTCATCTTCATCGGCTTCATCTATCTGCTCTGGCTTGTGCGTACCAAATATCAAATATTTAGTGAACGTCATTTGGCCTACAGTGATTCGCATATGCTGCGTTTCCATGCCTGGGCATTACTATTGATCTTCATTTTAGTCCTGTTGCTAGTCCTCGTGATATCCTATTACAACATTCAGCGAAGAAAGCAGCTTGGGAAAACAGAATCCGCCGAAAATGAAAGTGAAATGGATGAGATCGATGCCAATTCCGATCTGGCCAGCGATGCGGAGATTACGGGAAGTGCTCCAAGGCGTGAGGATTTGGATTCATTTCAGATTTGGTGGAGCGCTGTAAATGGTTTGTCCCACATGAAGGAGCCCTTCAAAATTATAGTTGTCCTCTTTGTGAGTAGAGTCCTCTTTCTGAGTGTACATATGTGAATGAAACCTAATCTATCTACCCTTCCCCCTTCTGTTCCCACATAGACACCCTTCTATTTTGTGCTGGCCATCATCATACCCGTTCTGGATGAGAAGAGACAAATGAATGGCTGGTGCAAGCCCGTCGTGCTCGTAAGCTTGCTAGTATTCCCAGTGCTATTTATTGGCCTGATGCCAGATCCCAACACCTGGATCGCCGTGCTCATCTGCAGTTGGATTATGGCCTTCCTCGTCCACATCTCATTTCACTCGCTGAGCGAACCGAATCTCGTCTGGTTGAGTGTCTTTTGCATAGTAGGCACAATTGTGTGCTCCGTTTGCCTTCACTCGCTAATACGCGAAATTGATAATCTTGCTTGGCAATATTTAAGCATAAGATTCCACTCGATACCCGATCTGATCTGCCTAATGTTCCTGAGCTCTGGCGAGATGCTCTGCGCCTTCGTAATGCTCCTCTACCTGAAAAGATACAAGTTGTTCGATGCAGCCTATGGACTCGTCATGGGTCTGGTCACCTACACAATTTACACCACTCTCCCTCTGCTCACTCTGAACAACTGCTACAACGAGCAGACCTATGTGAGTAGTGGGTCAACCTCTTTAATGCGAATGACTCGAATTGTATATGTAATTTATGTGATTTATTAGATTATGTGCACTGCGCATACGGAGACTTGTTACACGTTCTTCATGGTCATCTTTCTGGGCACTCTCTTTCACGTCTCGATGTGTGGCAATGAGTTTCGCATATCGCTCTTCTACTATCTGACCATCATGTACGTGACTTATGTATTTTTTCAGTTGGCAGCCTACATTCACTGGGTGTATCCATTTGGTTCATTGCACTCCATTCGGCCGCCCAAGGAAACCGCAAATCATTGGGCTTAGACAACTTTAAGCAGGTATTTTAATTTTTATTTAGTGTTGAATAAAAGACAATGTTTACCATTTCAGTTATATGCATTGCTTCCTCTAGTATTAACACTAATCTTTGCTCTAACGACTTTAAGCCGATCCGTGTGTGATTACAAGATATCCCCCTCCCTGACACCCTGCCACCACCTCACCGCCTGAAGCGCTAAGCAACTCTAGTCAGGCTTGAACAAAAGCGCTTTTGTGCTTAAATTTGGTTTGATGCCAAAGCAACCGGACTCGAAAGGGGGCAAGGAGGCAAAAGGAGGAAATACGTTGCCTACTTCAGGGGTTGTCAGTAATATTTGGCTTTTTGGCTAGGCAAACGTGTGGAATCTTCGTGCTAACCAAAAACGAAATTGATGAATTTTTGTTTTTGTCACAACATTTTTTCATTTTTTTTGCGATTTCGGGTGTTTGAGAGGAGGTTGTAGTATTCAAAAGATTTTTAGATTATTAAAAAAATGGTTACAAGTGAGAGAACATCGAGGATACGACTTCAACACTGTTACAGGACGTCTTTTCGGCATACTCGGCATCCTTTGGCTTGGCATATTTTGACATTTGCTAAATTAAAGTGAGTTGCGACTTTTTCTCTATTTGTCATTTCATTTTTTATTTTGCTGGCACCTTTTGCATTAAATATGAATTCATGCAGAAAGTGTGAAAAAAAACAACGAAGCGGAGTGCAAAAAGAAAAAAAATAATGGTGAAATCAGTGCAGACAGCACAGGATACTTTTGCTGACAGGACATTAAGTCAACAACAATATGCGACTGCTTGCCATCATTTGGTTGCCTCCGATTTTCAGTTTCGCTCACCTCTATCATAACTTACCATCATTAAATATTTCAATATATTTAATAATATTTTGTATAATATTTCTGATTAATATGAATGAACGGTAAGCAGAGAAATAAAATATAACTGCAGTTTATAAAAACTTACACTTCTTGTATAGATGACAAAAATATTCGATAGCGTCACCTACTATTCAGCTGTCGAACGTTTCGCTTCAGCACTTCCACGCCGAGATGGCTCTAGACACTTTTACTGGCGCCATCTTTAGTACACCAGGAAATTGTTAGGAACAGAGCTTTCACACCAAGATGGCACTAAACATATCAGCGCTTTCACGCCTAGATGACACTAAATATTTCTGTTATCGCCATCTTTTGTTCACCAGAATATTTTTAGAAACAGAGTTTTCACGCCTAGATGCCGCTAAATATGTCTGCGCTTTCACACCTAGAAGGCACTCAACATTTCTGCTAGCGCCATCTTTTGTTAACCAGGAAATGTTTAGGAATAGATTTTTCACGCCTAGATGGCACTAAGTACTTATGCCAGCGCCATCTTTTGTTTACTTGGAAATGGGTAGTAACATCGCTTTCACGCCTAGATGGCGCCAGATTCTTCTGCTAGCGTCACCTTTCGATTCTCAATTAGTGCAGACTACGAAACACAATACCTTAAGGGCACCACTAGTATGTGAAACGTGTCCAGCAGAAAGCGCAGTGAGTTTGACATATAGATTTCGACACACAACCAACTAAGAACTGCTGCCAGCTCAGTATATTACACACCACACCGAGATGGAGCAAATACCTGAACAACAAAACACGTGACTATACACAAGCACACAGATTCTTGAAGGTATTCAGCAATTACACTTGCACAAAATATGCACTGAGCTCGATCTGCTTTTTTGAGCGAAAAATGCACCGTGCCATCTATGGGCTGATCGAACAAACTACAAATGCGCATGGGTACTTTTCAAAAATATTAAGATGTGGAGCATAATTACCTATTGTGCATTTCTAGCGAAGTTTTATTTAGCATCAATAGTCTGCAAGTAAGTTGGCAGTTAAGCCAATTCAGAATGTGTAGCCCTGCTTTTGTGGCGCCAGATTTAAATAGTAAAATACATTTAGGTCTTGTTGCATAGATAGATTTTGTACTTTCTTCAGATGCTCAAGCTTAAAATGCTACAAAGAGCATTCAATAAAATCAAAGCTCCCGTCAAATGCAAAGCAGCAGATCGATTGCAGCCCAGATTAGTGAGAGTAATAAAGTATTGAGCCTCATCGGGAGTTTGGCAAGCAGGTTGATCGCAGGAGATGTGCCCAAAGCCCTGCGCCTGCACAGAGAAGAAAAGTGGAGGACAGGGCTCAAAGTCGTAGCCGACACAGGCATCTGTCAGATCATAGCTATAGGAGCCTTGAGGAGCCGTCGACTCACAGGTCTCGTCCTGGCGCAAGGGAAGACTCCCATTGCGGAAGGGCAGCTCGTGACTCCGCGAGAAGCAGACCGCAAAAGTGATCTGACTAATGGGAGTGATTTTCAGATAGCGCATACTCCGCCTGCCTGCCATATAGAGTGCATCTAGGCGATAGAAATTGATGTTACCGAGGCGCGCATATTGCTCGAGGGAATCCGATCCATATTCGCCAATGGCGCCATTCGAGGAACAGCGCGGATTCCAAAGACGACGCGGCACTAAAGTTGGATACTAAAGTTGGACAACATCTGGAGGATGTGGAGTGGGGATACTTACCCTGTCTTATCCTCCTCACAACTGGCAATCCACACTTCTCTGGCGGTTTGCCAATGTTTAGCAGGAGCAAATCCCTGCTCGGCTCCCGCACAAAGTCATGGAATCTCACCAGAGCACCGCCTCCATAGTAGATAATGTGCAGATTGGGTAAACTGTGACGCATGCGATGCATATAGCGGACACAGTAGTCGTAGTCCCGCTCATCCACAAAGGAGGTCGGACTGGGCACAAGCAGAGCCACCAAGGAGCGTCCACCAAGATTCCCTCCAGCTCTCTCCACATCCAGCAGCTCTTCCACTCGACTGCTGAGTGTGTTTAGAATTACTGGTAAGTTTAAGCCAGGTGGATCTGGATAAGGAATATACATATATATATATATATATATATATATGAATAAGTGATATAAAGAGAAGATCGTTGTTTGTTAGAGATCCCATTTTAGATCCACAATAACTTCAAATGCGGATTGTTCAAATTGCTTACGCCAATAATGCGATGTGGCATTCCAGTGTTCATATACATTGACTATATAATCGGTGGTATTGACGATAACTGAAGCATCGGATGCAGCAAAGAGTGTTACTCGGCTCGCATATGGATGTATATTCAAATTCTGTAAAACGTAACTAGCAAAGAAAAGATCAGATTAACACGTATTATCATTATAAATATACTCAGAGCAAAAATCTGTCTGACTTTTAGAAAATCGTCGAAGTCGAAATACTTTTCCCACGTGTATGTACATAGATATATTCTTAATTCTAAGAAATGCAAACCCTGGTTTGTAGAAAGCCACAATCTTCAGATTTAGAAACTTACTTTCTGAATAATAGGTTACAAAAGTTCAGTCTGATTTTTTTCTGAGTGTATAATATTTAGATAGTAAAAACTTACGCCACATAGTCGACGACCCAAAAATATGGCCAACTGGTGTCCACAAAGACAAAGACATCCGTCTTAATGCTCGTCAAATTGGATATATCCGACGAATGCTCGAATGGAAAGTAGTCCATATATTCTATAAAACAGAAAGTTTAATACTGATATTGATACAGATATAGATAAAGATAGATATATATATACATATGTACAATATAAGGTTATTCAATATGGAACCACTTGGGAAGATAGTAGTAAATAATAAGAAACAAAAACATGCAGTTTAGTTCTAGTGGGGAATTTATTTGCAACTTAATTTTCTTCATTTTGCACTGGAACTTACAACTTAAATAAAAAACATTATAATAATAATTTAAGACGACAAATGTGTGTGGAATGTGGTGGAGGGGGTGGGAAGGGGGGATGGTAATTTGAACTCGTCTAAACTGGGACGGCAACTAATACTAATGCACACATCTGTCTCTCTCTCTCTCTCACTCGCTTGCTGTCTCTTTCGCTCACTCTGACTTGGAGAGTTTACTGCAAGGATTGCTGCAGCAGCAGGGCCAGCAGAAGGGTAAAGAAGCTGGCCGTCAAAGCGGAGACACCATTGTAGCAGCCCATATTGACAACGGAGACGACGTAGCGCCACTGATCGGGCGTCTGGCACTCATCCTGGGTGCAGGATGTGGTGCTGGTGGTGCCCGGCTGGACGGACAAATAGAGCGGAGGACACTGGGTGATGGTGTAGTAGCCATTGCAGGCATTGGACAGATCGTACGAGTAACTGTTGCCACTGATCTGCACACAGCTCTGATCCGCTGTGGAGCCACTGTTGGTGCCGGTGGTGCCGCCACCGTTGCCGTTGGCGGTTGAGTTCTGCTGGGGCCACTCGTAGGTGCGCGAGGAGCAGACTGTGAAGCTACCACCGTTCTGGGACTGAATGGTCACCACTCGATTTGCGCCGCTGCCAAAGAAATAGTTGGGCGCTACCCGATAGAAGTTGGCGGTGCCAGGGCGAATATACTGATACATCTGATCCGTGCCCCAGCTATTCGTATACCATGCGGAGCCACAGCGCGGATTGATGATGCGACGAGGTACTGCAAGAGGGGGCAAGGAATATTAGTTGAGCTTAGTTAAGTGGAGTTCATATTTGCCACTCACTAAGCGCGATACGCCTGGCAACTGGACCTGCCGAGGTGGCCACCGTGCTGCCCGTCATCAGAGGGAACAGATCCTTGGCACTATCGCGCACAAAATTGCTGAAGCGCTGAATGCTGCCACCGCCATAGTAGATGAAGCGTAGATCGGGTATCTGCTCGTAGATATACTGCAACTGAGTTGTGACATAGTTGGAGTCGCCATCGTTGACATTCGCCTGATTGGGCATGATCAGAGCCACCAGGGAACGACCGCTAACGGAGGAGTTGGTCTGCTCCTCATTCAACAGAGTCTGGGTAAGATTCTGAATGCTGCGCAACACATTCGGCAGATTGAAGCCCTGTTGCACTGCAAGAAATAGACAACGATTTAGTTTGAGGAAAATCAATTTCAATCGTGAGGAAAAATGTCGAATTTTTTCGCAATTTTAGAAATAGTTAATATAACTTACGCTGCGACTGTATTGTATAATTCCACTGCTGATAAAAGTCGGTGATCAAGTTGGTGGTATTCACAATGATTGAACCATCGTAGGCGGAGAGCATCGTCACCGAGCTGGCATGTGGATGAATATTCAGCTGCTGCAGGATGTAGCTAGAGGGGGAGTGAAGAGACTCAGCCTTAAATGAGATGTTACCCACGGATACCCATTTTAGAAACTCACGCTAGATAGTCCACAATGGTGCTATACTGCCAGGTGGTGTCCATAAAGACGTACAAATTAGTCATGGGCGTAATGATGTCGGATAGATCCTGATTATTGCTGGCCGTGCAGGAGACATCGTTCAAGGATTGCGCTAGGGAAGAAGTGCGAAAAAAGAGATCACAGGTTGAACTTAACTTAAAAGTAGAGCTAGATAAATGATGCACGACTAGACATATCTTAAGCCCAAGTGGTTCCAATACTCTATATATGATATGGGGGATTCTTCTACTTACGGACATAGGTGACCAGTGAGAGGGAGGCTGTATTGGCGAACTCTGCGATGGCGGCTGGCTCAAGGGTGACCTTCAGTTGCATCTCGCGATCGAGGACCTGGGCAAAGGCGCTCGTTTGCAGCTGCATCTGCTGAGAGGGTGCTACATTGGGGAACTGCTGTTGGCGACTGCACGCCTGAATCCCCGAGCTGAGCACACCCGTCGCCGAGTAGTACATGCGCAGCAGCTGGGACAGCTTCAGGCCGGAGGCTTGTGTGCGCCACTGCTGCACATTCATGGCAATGATGAGGCCATCGAGACCACCACGAATCTCTGCATCGGTTGCCTCCAAATTGTTGCGTTGTGACAGGAAATACCAGTGCGGCAGAACGGTATCATTCCAGCCCCCGGTGGCACCAACTGTGGCCACATTATTAACGGAGACGGGCACCTGGACGAGCGTCACCTCGGCCAAATCACCAGCCAGAGTCGCCGCCCAACGATTGTCCACCGACGACGCCGTTGTCTGGGATTGAGTGCGTCCACCACCACCACCAGCACCACGACGTTGTGTGGCCAACTGGAGCAGCGTGTTCAACGGTACATTTTGCTGTTGCAAGCCGGTGGCGACACCTGCAATCAGAGTGCCCGCCGAGACAGTTCCCCAAGGGGTGCGCACAACGCCATCCTCGACGGGACACTGACTAGTGCCGCCCTCATTTCCAGCGTACGCCCAATCGGAGTCGTAGTCAAGAGCCTGTGAGCCCTTCTGCTGCACATAGTTGGCCCTTTTCGGACGAGTGTCACTCAGCCACTCGGCATCCCCGACAAAGTTATTGCCCCTGCTCAGGGCACGTGGCAAGCGCTGAGACCGATACTGTGACAACTGACCACAGACCGTGTTCTCATCTCCACGCTGGCGTGTGTCGAACGTACTGGACAGCATAAAGTGGATCGAACAACGCTCTGTGCTGGTCAACGAACTGTTTGGGAAATTATTCGCATTGCCCGGCAGCAGCCGGGAGAGCAGAATCCGTAACTTGGGAAACTGAAAGCCTGTTGGACTGTACGGGATAACACCCTGAACGGCATTCACGCCTGGTGCCCGCTTAATGCCATCCTGGCGGAATCGGTGCAGGAGTGCAACGGATACGGTTCGTATGTCCACCTGGTAACCAGTCGCCGCATAGCTCTGCTCCACCTTCTCGATCAGTGAGATTAGCGTGTCCATGTTGGCCGGCAGTCGATTGTCACGATTCATAAAGTACGAGGAATTATAGCATTCGATCAGCGATGGCGGTATCTGCAGCTGTGCATTCTCCTGGGCCAGCACCGAACCCGATCCAATGATGCCAAGGATCAGGCCCAGCCACAAGCAGACAGCGGCTGCCTTGAATCCTAATCCTACTCTCTGCATGCCTTGGTCTCCTTCGATGTCGTATTTGATGTGTTTGTCGTTAAATCGATGGCAGCTGATAGTGTGAAAATTTAAAAGATAATTAGTTTTGTGGAAAATATGTCTTTGTGAAATCCTAAAATACCTAATCACAATTAACAAAAAAATCTTCTACAAGAATTCTGCTGTGTATGTAGCATACGTTATGGTCCAGTTTATAGTTGACATTTAGGCAGGTTAGTGTTATGCTGCAAGTCGAATTAGTTACAAAACTCTCGACTTTATCGAACCGGCCATGGCCCAAATAAGAAATACGAAAACTGAATTGAGTCAGCGGCCGCATGGCTTACAGTTTTCCACGGACCCTACTGACACCCCAATAATAGTGATAAGAGAATATCAGAAGAATGGCCATTGTATTCCTCTTATCAACCACAAAACCAACAGCAACAACAACAATTTGTCGTGTTTGATTTACGCTCATGTGCAAACTGTGTTATCCTTATCGCTGTACAAACATTTTGGCTTGGGCTTATAGATGTCTCAATTTTACTACTCCATGTATTTATATAGGTGCACGAATTATTGATCTGGCATCTGATAATTTTCAAGTGAGTCAATTCATTAAATTTTCTATTTGAAAGGCCGTACTTTTTATTGAGTCAGGTGTGGAATCTAGAGAGGGAGTAAAGACAAGTAAAGAGAGAGAGAGAGATAGATAGAGAGAGAGAGAGAGAGAGAGAGAGAGAGAGAGAGAGAGAGAGAGAGAGAGAGATGGTATGATAGATAAAATCTGTGAAAGCAACCAACGAAACACTTGTCTGATATTTGATTTGTGTTTACGAAGTGAAATTTTCAAAGCAATTTTGAAAGTATTAGAAGTTTAATTTAGAAAAAAAATTAATTAATTCATTTTGGATTTTATAAGAAGAAAATAAGAAAAAAATTCTATATGTACCTTACAAAAAATCGACATGCCTACATACAACCAAATAATGTTTATAAATATTGACCATATTATCGAAAATGAGCAAATTGACAAAAAGAAATTGAAAAGTCTTAAGTATATTTTCAGATATATAAATGTATATCAGATATACATATATACACAATTACAGCTTAAGCCTATATATATATGCAAAGTTTCTCTAGAAATCATAGCAGAAAAGCTGCTCGCATGCATAAGGCATTAAATATCATATTGGAAAGTCTTCAGCTTAGAGGTTATTAGAGATATTAGAGGTATGCAAGTTTGCCATAGACACATTGATATAGGTAGGTCACATATAATATAGATATAACTCAGTCACAGATACACAGATACAACTATGAGACGGATACACATCCGCCTAGCGTGAGTCACTTCCTGTCTGTAATACGATTTTTACAACTCTTTGCGAACTTTCTTTATAGCCATCAATGTAAGCGACTTATAAGCACATTCTGAACACTTCTTATATACCAGGGAAACTGATGTCATCAATTTTGGCGCACACTCATGTACTTATCAATATTGGAGGTATATACTTGTTATATATGTATATATATATATATCTATATATACTATAAGCAGACGATGAGTCAAATCGCCTTCATATGCCTTTTATACGCATTGAATTTAGATCGGTTATCAGCTATTATCAGGTATATCAGTAAGGAATTTGTTGGTAACAGATTGGCAACCAAAACTACCCACAAACTAGCAAAAAATAACTATTGCTTTACTGACTAACTGACAGAGAGGCGCGTGAGTGAGTCAGTTGTTAAATTCTTAGCATAATGTTGGCTATTCATAAACATATATAGCATACAGTTTGTATATATTTTTTTTTCGTTGCTCTCTTCATTTCGCTGCGATAAGATAACATTATAATTGTTTAAGCACAGTTAGTTGTGAATCTTTTAAACACTCTTTTGAATTGGGGCGTTTTCCGTCTTGTGTAGACTTATTTTGTAGACCTACTTTTAATTGTTATACAATTTACAGTATCTACTTTAAGTTGATTTCATTAGGATGCACAATTTTTGAGTCACTGCAAATATTTTATGGCCTCACGTTAATTACAATCTATTCCAACACATTTATTTTCAGTTAGGTTTTACAGTATTTTCAGAATTTTCACAACCGTTAGTTATTTTCCGCTTTACCTTGTTCCACCTGCTAAACTATTCATACTGATTCTTTTGTTTTTGGGCCCGCAGGTGCCTCACCTATTTGGCCGAGCAGCGACGAGTGTTGTAATCTCAGTCACAGTGCTTATCAGTAATCTCCATCCACACATATATTTATATATACAGATAAGATATGGCACTTTCGGATCTGGGTGAATAATACAAGACGCAGCAGCGAACGTTGTGCAAATTAATACTTCTGCTACTTGCCAAAGTCTACACGCATGAGGCGAGTTAATACAACTATAGTATTACGTGTAAGAGATAGAGAAATTCTTAATTTTAAGTTAAATTAATAATGGCGATAATTAAATATTGAGTAGCTCAAAATACAGGGAATTTCCCTTGAAGGGAATTTTTAAAATTTCGCGCCCACTATCGTCAGGGCTGCACGACTTGCTACCCAAAAAAAATATCGATATGCCACAAACGTACGCACGACCCAATCAGATACCAAACTTAAAGAAGAAGCAGAAGCAAAAAATAATCAATAAATAGCGAGCGAAATGTAAATAGAAAATTGCATTAAATATTTTCAACAAAATATAAAACAAAGCAATGGATATTGCAGGGGCAAACACAGGACGGCGCAACAGGATGCGATATTCGTGGCCTTCATGGAGCGACATCCGATAATAGCGAAGAACTACTATAAAGGTGACAAGTTGGCCTGCGAAGCAGCCTGGCAAAGATTAAGCAGGGAATTAAATAGCGTCGGACCGCCAGTAAAAGAAGCCGCCGAATGGAAGCGTGTAAGTTAACCAACACTTAAACAATAAAACCCTAATATGTTAGCCTTTGTGGAAATTTCATAGGTGTGGAAGGATTGGAAGAGTTGCATACGCAAGAAGATAGCCAACAACCGACTGGAACCGAATGCAACTGGAAAGAATTCCCTGTACCAGGACACCTTGACTCCCCTCGAAGATGCTGTGGCCACCATCACCGATCTGTATGAGATGGCAGATGTGATGGTTGAGTCACAGCCAAAGCAAAAAGTCCGCAATGGAACGAACACAAATACACAAATGAGATTGCAGCAAATAAAAACAGATCGAGACGAAGATGTGTCCGATAATAATAATGGTAATACTTTCAATGCGATAATCGATATCTCTGATTAACATGCGATTTCTTTAGAGGATGACGATGAGCAGGAAGAGGAGGAGGATGACGCTTCGGCTGAATCGATCTGCGTGAGAAATGTCGGTGTTAAAGTCGAGCAGCAAATTCAAAATCAGCCGACCACGGGAAAAAAAAGGAAATTGGACAGCGATCATCTCAATTGTGGGGGAGCGGCGAGCACAGTGCTCCTGGACATTGCCAAAGAGTTGCGGGATCTAAACAGACAGACTCGAGTGAATGCCCAGCGCACAGAGGCTAATACGGAGGCGCTACTAGCGATGGGCACGCAGATATCTGATCTTATGCAACAACAACTCAAGGAGCGAAAGCGACTCAATGCCATCATGGAGAAGTTTGTGCTCAAAATGGAAACTACCGACTAGAATAGATTAGTTAGTTTAATATAAGCTTAAGTTTATACATATATAAAGGATAATCGTTTATCACAAAATATATTTTGAATTGTATTTTAAACGTTGTACATCAAATTTTATCGAAACATCAATATGTTTAAGCATCGATACTTCGACTGCCAAACACGATCGATTAATTGGTGAAGACAAACGGTAGTGAACTGCCGTAATCTCATCACTAACTACTCAGATACCATCACTAGCTGCAAAACAGCGCGAAATGTGGAGGAGGCATTTTTTAATTTAAATAAAAATAAGTTTTTAAGCGAATTTATAAACTGAAATGAACAATATGTCGGCCACTTTAGACGTGCGAGTATGCAAGCTGGGCGAGAAGAATCAAATCGAGAGACTGCGCGAACTCATCAAAAAGACCAGCCTCAAGGAAGTAAGTTGGTCTCCCAATTTAATTTTAGAATAAAAAAAAAAAACAAACACTAAATGCTGGCATTATTTTGCAGCTAACAGCAATCCTTAGCGGCAAGTTGGCGCGAAAGGATTTCATTAATTTCTGGAACTATCTGTTGCTCGGCTGCGACGGGAATAAAGTCGAGATGCAGGAGAAGCGTTTTGCCTGCGTGCGTTGTTTATTGGAAGGCTTGCGATCTGTGGAGATTAGCTACAAGCTGAGTATTGATTTGATTACCCGGCTGTGCCATGATTTGTCCAGCTACACGCCGGAACAATTGAATTGGATCGTTGAGCACTGCATTGATGATTTGCGGGCGGGCGATGCCAAGTGTATCGCCTGGAAGGATCTGTTGCCAGAGACACTGCTCGTTTTGGCCATTCGACCACGTCTCATCATCAATGGGATTGCGATGAGTGGGCCGGAGTTGAGGGACACCACTGTGCGCAATCTGAGTACCATGCGCTGGCCAACAACCATACTGACACCCATTGCGAATATGTTCAGGTGGGTAAAAAATTTGGCCTACTTTGAAAGCTAAGATTATTCTTTACTTTGCTTTTGCAGCACTCTCAAACTAAGCGTTGGGGAGCGCTTAACGGTGCTGAACAAGTTTGCTGGCGCTCTCCAGGAACTGTCACCTATGGAGCTGCCTGTGTTGTGCTATCAGCTCTTCTCCATGTGCACGAATGCAGCTCAACTGATTATTCCACTAATGGCGCTGGAAAAGTATTTTCATCGCCACTACTACAAACGTCTGTTCTCCGATATGTGCAGCAATTCTACAGATTTTGATAGTATCGGTTCGTGATTAACAATCGAAAATAATCTCAAATTGCTTTTTTAATCAGCTTGTTACATCAATAGATGCCTATTCGGACAAGGAGCTGCGCGAGGCGGAGGAGACAGTGCTGCATCATTTGAATTACTGCACCATGTATCTGCTGAGTGAGCAGCATGTGGCCATTATGCTAAGGGTGGGGGAGTCACATATATATCTATATCTATAGCCTAGGTCACTTTTAACTTCCGTCTCCTTGCAGAACTTTCTCCATATGCCCGATGTCATACTAACGCCATTTATGCTCAGCGCTATCATCTCGATGACTTCTGTGAATCGTGATCCGGAATCGGCGAGGTTTTCCAGCTGTATTCTGTTGCCATATCTGCGTAACGTTATCAATCATAACGAGGAGGAGCAAACGATGGCCGAATACTCGGTGTGGTGTCGCGATACTCTGCACCGCAAGCATGTAGATATGTTGCAGGTATTCACCGTGCTCATCGATCAGAACAAGGATGGCAGGGATGTGGTTACCCCAGGTCTAGTTAACTTGGCCTTTACGCTGCTCAAGGCGCACAATGCACCCAAACTGAATACGTTGGCCATCACATTTTTGATCAAATTCATACGACGACGTTTCATGTTCGGACAGGGCATCATTAAGCGCATTGCCGAGTGGATGGTCGTCGATCAGGGGCAGAATCAGTTCTCGGGTAACTGGCATATTTATAATCAATTCTCTTGTTAACTGTTGATTGACCTTTAACAGACTGCCTCACAATGCTGAGTGTGGCGGATACTTATACCGTATCCGAATGCCTGGAAACGATCACAACGGTTATGGAGGACTTTCTATGGGTAAGTCATTTAGTTCCCCTTGCTTGAAGATGCTTATTATATCAGTTTTATATTTCAGCTGCCTGGCGATCAATCCATGCGCATGATGAACTTCATTTTGCCACTGCTGAAGCTCTCCAATCGCGTGCGAGATGCTTTAATCGAAGTGCTGCGTAAGGCGATGACCAAGTTAGTCCTACTTCCATCCATTTAAACTCTTTCTATATATTAATTGTTTTTTGCTTCTCTTAGGGACTATCGCACACGTCGCATGGCCATCTTTGGCTATTGCATGATCCTCAAGCAGCTCAACAACAGTAACTCGGCACGTCAGTCGCAGCATAAGGCTAGCAGTTTCTGTACGCAGCAGAGCATCTCTGGCTACTCGATGATGACGCAGAGCTCCTTTGGCATGCACAGCAGCATCAATCCACAGCGCAATTTCGATATGCTTACGCTGGAAATTATTGGCATATTGCGCAGCTGTTTTGAACAGCAATTGGGCATCAGACGCACACTCTACGAGAGTCAGTTATAGTTAATAGCTATTATTGTTATAAATTATATATTAAGGTCAATTTCTTCCTTCGCACAGATCTTCAGCGTGCTGTTGAATTGAATGCTAAACTGGTGCCGCATGTTTTGCAGTTTGTCGACTTTCATTTTCGTGGCTTCTTCGATACGCCATTTGTGGATGAGGCTGGCGATGATTTGGATACACAATTTGGCATAAATTATGATCGGCTCGTTAGCGTCAAGGATGAGCAGCTGGAACTGAAGGACAATTTGGGCTGCTTGGTGCAGTTTGTGTCGCATTGCTTGGCGATCTTTGAACGTGCACCTACGGGCTGCGATGTGCATGAAATGCAACGATTGCTCACGTTCTGCACTCAACGTATGGTGGCCAACAGATTGCCACTGGAGGATATGGTGAGTAGTCAACGATAAACCGCTAGCTTTATATCTGTACTGATTACGGCCTTGCTCACTGCTCAGGCTCCGCCAGCTACTCCAGTGAAGTGTGCACGCATTCAGCAGCAGTTAAATCTCATCGAGGGACTCATTTCACATGCGCTGCTCAGCTCCAAGCCGGACAACTATGCTTTGCATCCAGTGTTGTCGCTTTTTAAGGTGCATCAGAAACTGCTTAACGATCTGCATGGCTTGGCAGCCGCCACCTCAAAGAAATCGAAAAAGAGCTCCAAGCATCACTCACTCAGCGATAGCAATGCAACTGCTAATCTCAGCGTGAATACGGTTAAACTAAAGCAAATATGCACACAACCGGAGAATATTTGGGATCTGGCTATAATCGAGAAGCTGCTCCATTTACTGCACGAGTGGGTGGCATTAAAAAAACATACTATAACCCAATTATTAATCGCATTTTTCGCACTCTTTTTGCAGTGATCATATACCCTTTGCGAGTGTAGCGAGCACAGCTTCGCTCCGGAGCTATAGGCCCCTGGTGCGTTATGTCTTCGAGATTGCTGCTCAGAAAGTACAGTGTATACGCGAGGAGCCGGACTATAAACAGCTCTCCTACAGCAAGCGCACACTGAAGCTGCTGACAGACATCTCCAAGGTGATCTACGAGCGTTGCATTCGTCGTCTGCCCAAGCTGTGGCGGGACTTTGATCTGGAGAGCGCCGTCCTGGCAGCCAAGTGCTTCATGCAATGCACTCGAACAGCGCACGTGACATACAGCAAGCGTTTCAAGGAGTTTGTTAAGGATTTCGGTAAGTTATATTATTAATTTAAGCAGATGCTCCTCTTCATTAAGATGCCTTCAACAGATATGTCTGTTATAAATAGAGAGAAGGAAGTCAGCTATGTGTTGCAGGATGTGCTGATCAAGTATATGAAGGAGGATATTGGTAACGATGAGGCTGCAACTCAAGCACTGCTCAGCTCTGATAAAAACGGAGCCAAGCTGCCTGTTTATTTGCTGGAGGCACTGGAGTTGTTCTACGATCACATTGGGTATGGCGAACGTCCTGCAATTGATTCCTACACTTGGCTGCTTGAATTCTGTCAGACGTATGAGTTGCCCAATCCCGAAATGGGTTTGGTGCATCGCATGCTGTTCACGCAACGCCAGAAGACGCATTCGGGTCCGTTCTTTGATGGCGTTGCCAGGCAGTTGGGTCAAGTGCTCGGCTGGCAGAATGATGACAGAGTAATCAAACATTCTAATTTGAGGTTAAAGTCGCTGAATATGAATACGACAGCGAGTTGCTTGCAGTATTTATATGCAGCAGTCCAGAAGCAGCTGGAAGATGTTGAATATTTTGTGATCAAAGCCAACAATTTGAATTACAAATGTAATATTGTGCCTGAATCGGATCGAGTGTATTGGCGTGGCCATCTGGAGGCGTTGGAGGGCTCGATCTGCACGCAGCTAATTCTGATAACACGTACCTTGGTGGAGATAACAAACGTGTGCATTCCACTGGGAAGCCATATGGATGGTCTAATGAAGCTACTGATACAACATTATACGTGCCTCAAGAATCTAACCAGACACTATTTTGGCGCCAGCGCAAACAAGAGCCTCAAGTGAGTAAAGATGAACTCTCATAGACTGTATTCATTGGATGTTACTTTTGTCCTGCAGGTTTGAGCAATTGCTGCGCAATGTGGGTAAATCGCTGCCTGCGAATATTTATCAGCTAATCTCGTATGTGGAGTATAATATACTCGATGAGGAGCCTGCGGGGAAACGCACACCGCAAGCGGAACGCGACAAAGTGTTGCGTGAGACGCGTCTCATTCCTAAAGTGATACTGGGCATTGAGAACTTCAACAAGCACATCATATTGCTGTCCAAGAAATTCAAATCCTATGATCGTTTGTCCGATCATTTGCACTTTGGCGCTGTGCGTGATTTTAATATACAATCAGGTGATTTGAGAGCTGTAATTGAGCAAACTTATTCGGATAGCTGCCAGAGTGAGGTGTCCGAGAGCAATTTGGAAGAACCCGATGAAAAGGAGGAGGAGCAGAGGACAGCGGAGGTGCCTGTGACCGATGCGGAGGACGAGCAAGAGCAGGAACAGAAAGAAGAATCCTCGCCACCCAATAAGCAACCGGAAACCTCCACTCGCGAAGCTCAACGACGACGTCGCGTTGCCAGTAACGATGTGTCGGAGGAGTCGTCACGGCCGAAACGTAGGCGTGGTGGATCCACCAAGAAATAAGAGCGTCAATCATGGTTACGTGGATGAGCTAACTTATGTGCTCGGTGCAGGGAGGAGGGCAGGCGAACAAGAGCGTGCCTCTGCATCACATCATCAACAGCAACAACGGCAACGGTCTCCATTTAAGTTTTTAACTTGTGTTTTTTATGTACTTTCGGCGCAAATTTGATGCCCGCACGCAATAGAGCAACTGCCTATCCCCTCCCACCCACGCCAATCCCCATCCCAACATCATTTTATTGCACTTGAAAACTTAATTAGGCCAAAATGCGGTGTGAACGCCTATGTTTTTCTCGTTCTGTATTTGTATCAACGTATTTCTCTCCAGCTGTGCGAGATTTTTATTACATGCATCAAATGTAATTTGTTACCCAAAAATTTGATGTGTTTCTATCTTCTTGAAAATGGCATAAATAAAAGAAAACTTCTATGTTGGGGCATGCGGGTGGGGGGATGTAATTTTTGGGGGTTGCAACTGCTGCTCGTGATGGCCTGAAAACTGTTTTTCTTTTTGATTTTTTATTTTTGCTTTTCGACCATCATTTAAATGCGTGACAGGTTTTATGGTCAGGTAAGTTTTGAGTTTTATCTCGTATCAAAGTCAAAGCTAACGTATTATTTATTTATAATGTATTTAGCTTATAGTAAAGGGCCAATCCACTATGTATAGGGAAGTGTATTTCTACTACTTGTTGGATTAGTTTTGCAGCACGCCTCAAACGTTCCCCATTCGCGTTCTGTATCCCTGTTATATGTGTGGCAAGAGGCAACTCGAGCGTGCATGGGTGTCAAGGGTCAGCGCGCTTCAGTGCAGCGCCAAGAGGCGAGAGGGGTTGTCTGTGTCTGTATTTAACTATTTTTGTGGTTGCTGTTGCAATTGTTTCACTGATTTTGCCTCCTGCAGGCGCTTCACTCATCCATTTGAGCATAAATGTTGCCTTTTGTCATTGACTGGCTTTGTTCTTTATCATTTTTATTATTTCGGTTTGAATAGATGCATTTGGAAAGTGGGTACATTTTCTATTGCAGTTGTGCATTCATTGATTTTGGTATGAATTTGTTCATGTCTAATTTCATTCTAATTGCATTCAGCTTAGTTATTCGACTTTTAATTGATTCGGTTTTGGTTTGGTAAAAAATAGCACTCTGATATTTTTTCGCATACTCCTGTCATTTTTATAACAACCAACTCATCCCCTCACTACATTATTTCTGTATTTGCTTCGTTAGCAAAGCTCTCCACATTTACATGGAAAACCATAATTTTGTTGTTTTTCTTTTCCGATTTTTCTTGCCATTGTATATTGTGTTCTTGCCCATCTAGTTTTGTGACATTCTCGTGCATTTTTAACAAGCTTAGTGCCATGGCAAGTGTTTGATTTTCAATTTCCCCCCGGCCTGTGGTGGTTGGTGTGTAAATTTATTATTCTAATTTCCGCAGTTGATTTGCTTAGATTTATTTTTGTGGATGCAAATGTTACAGGCGCGATCTGAGCATTTTGTTATTAATTCACTTTAAACAACATAAATTTAACTTTACATGCAAGCAAGCTCACGTGCCCCAGGGACAAGCTAGGCCGAGTAGTGAGTCAAATTTCCAATAGATACACAGATACAAAATGTATGTACGAGCGCGTTTTGCTTCTTTTTTTTTGTCGTCGAGCTTTGAATCGTGATTTGCGAGCTGTGAGCTATTCTACGAGTTTGTCGTCGTTTAATTTAATCAAAAGCCAAGCGTGCAACTTGACGAATCTTTAGTCGATCACACGAGCGCAACGACAACGGTTCACTTTCGGTTTCTCCACGGCGTAGATCGGTCTCATTCACATTTCTCTCGCAAACACTCCTTGAGCTTAATTCATCTCAAGATGATCACTGATCGGGGCTCTAGTTTGTTATTGCTGTTTCTTGTGCAGTTGTTGGCTTTGTGCCACTGGAGCAGCGCCAAGTTGCGTGAGTATTTACAAAGGGGAACATGAGACAAAAGCGGATTGTCGGAAAGCCCCACCTACAATCTAAAGGTTGAATGTGTCAGCAGTCAGTCAGACAGCAATTAACCAATCTGTTTAAAGTGTGCTCTGCAAGGCTTGCATTCAAACATAAAACTAACGATTTTTGCCAGCTAAACCAAAGAACAATTTTTAGTTCAAGTAATTATCTCATATAAGCATTTAAAAAATCGTTTGATGAGTAAAATCATAGTTAACGATTACTGATCGTCAAGGAATTATCAAATACTTGGGATCGTTTTAATGTAAAGAGTATTAAGTAATAATAAACGGAGCAGTCCCAACTGCTAGCTTTGGGATAGAATTGTAGCTTGATTTTCGGCTTAGAAATCTGGGCTTACAGATTTAAATGCAGTATTAATCTAGACACTAAACCTTTGTATAAAAACCCTTGCTTTTGAAAATCTGTTAAGTTTTGGATAAGTTATAACGCTGACAAGAATTTTACGAACATACCTAAATATGTATTAAGTGATGATTCAAATGAATTCAGTTTGACTGCGGAAGTACTTTTTTTCGCAACAAAAAAAATGTTTAACCTTAGTCTTACGGCTAGACATGCTATCCATAGTAAACCAAAGTCGACCTCTTATGCTGCTGCTGTCACAAAAGGGGGCCACTGACCTGCGCCCAGTCAAAACAACGATTGTTGCAACAACAACTATAAACCGTCAATTGCAGCTGTTGTGCATATTAATTATGCTCGTCGTGACGATGAAGGCCGCAGTCACAAAAAATATGTAAGCCCCACACACAAAATATTAATCAGAGTGAACGTTTCGTAGAATTGCAAAGGCAGCAGAAAATTGGTCTGACTTGAAGGTGGCACGTTCTTGATTCAAGTTCAAATGCAGAGGGCTGAACCCAAATTGGGAATTATGTAAATAAATAGATTTCCTTTTGATTTCTCTTCTCAGCATCCAGCATAACACCCTGTGCTCGCAACGATCCTCAACTGGAGCGTTGCATCATCAATGCCGTCTATCAACTGCGTCCTCTCCTGGTCCATGGCAATCTGGGCGATGGATTTCGAACTCCTCCACTGGAGCCACTGCAGCTGGACAACATTGAGCTAGGAGGCGGCAGTCAGTTTCAGGCAACATTCGCTGAGTTAGAGGCATCGGGTGGCAGTAATTTCATCATCGATCGAATAATGTAAGAAGCACGGATTATACTTAAGAAATGACTGCATTAAGTCCTGATTCTAGTGCCAAGCCTGAGGATATCTCGTATGATTTGTGGATAACTCTACCTCGCATTGACTTCAAGGGAAAGTATTCCATGCGACTCAATTTGTTGGTGCTGGATATTAAGGGCAAGGGCAACATGCGTGGCTATTGCGGTGAGTATTAAAGAGAAAAAATCGACCTGAATTTCAAGATGTTTTTTTGTAAAATTGGTAACAGCTAAACTCTAATATAGCATTTGAGAAAGCGAATTTCAATTCAATTTTCTGAATTTCAGAAAGGATTTTTGTCGATTTAGGGATTATTTCTAAATACAGGAGAAACTTTCTCTTTTTAGGGCAATTTTTTAAATTTCAATGCGATTTTCTTCTGAGTATTACTTAACATCCAAGCTAAGTCCATGATTGAAAGCCTAATTGAATTCTTTCCAGACAATGCCAAGGCTGCTGTCAAGATGCGCGGCACACGCTATCTGCGCAATGGACTGGAGTATGTCAAATTCACCAAGATGACGATGAGAATTCAGTTTAGGGATTTCAAACTGCGATTGGACAATCTCTTCAACGGGGATGGCATATTGGGCGATGTGGGCAATACACTCATCAATGACAATCAGGATCTGTACTTGAATGAGATTGTGCCAGGATTGGAGCGTGGATTGTCCAAGAAGTTTCTGGATGTGGCCAATGAGATTTTGGCAACGGCCACCTTTGATGAAATGTTTCCACCCGGTCGCACTGTGGTCAATCCTATTCATTTTCCCAATCCGGCAGCACCAGCTGTGCCCGGACCATCCATATTTGAGCCAAATTTTGCCTCACGTAATCCTGTGGGCGGCATTTTGGATCAGCTGCCACCCAGAAATAACAATCACAATCAAAATCGCAGGCCCAAACAACCGACGAACAACCATCCGGGAGGTGGTATTTTTGGCGAGATAACTCCAGGCGGAGGCATCATTGATCCCAGACTGAATCTGGACAGATAGAATTTGTATATTTGTTTGTTTCTTGTATTTGATGTATTTTTCGATTAAATAAAGTTATTTGTTTCTTTTTAAAATATGAAGTAATAAGGGGAGACTTATAAAATAAACTCTTTTTTAAAAAGGATCACAAATTTTTGTTAAAGCCGATTGAATACTTTGAATGGAAATTTTTCTTATAGTAAGGTTAAATTATTAACATCTAAAATATATTATATATATTTTTTTAAATTTCTTGCCTTTTTGCCAGGTCACATGATTATGTGGGGATTCTGAATCTCTTGACTGGTTTAGTAACAGTTAAAACCTATCTGGAAGGTCTTCAAGTTATAGCTATGGCTCTTAGACACCTGACGCTGACTTTGGGGCACAGTTGCCAGTCTCTTACCCAAGCGCTAATTTGGCTAAGAGCGCTTAATGTCTTACTCCATTTGCTTGTCGTTGGCTCAGAGAGTGAGATAGAGAAACGGAGAGAGAGAGAGAGAGAGAGAGGAAGAGAGGAGAAAGCTTGTGCAAACTTTTTAATCCACCGCAAAGCTGGAACAGTTTTGCATATTAAGCGCAAAGTTTGCGACTCTACAACACCAGGGGGACACTTTAAGGGCAACACACCTACACACACACACATTTTACACCTGTTCAATGGGTAGGTTGAACACGTGGTCAGCGACAACGACAACGACAGAGAGACAGAGAGAGAGAGCGAGAGAGAGAGAGAGAGGGTGAGAGAGATGGGGTGATTAATCACCGGCAGCGACAAAGATGAATTTACAAAGATTTTGTGCGCCTGAAAAGTTTTTACTTTCGCTCGGGCAGTTAATTGTGTTAGCCAGCAGATGGACTTGGCCAAAAACAGAGACACAAGCGTGAGCGAGAAGAGCTTGTAGAAGAGAGCAGATGTGGCAGGAAGAAGTAAAAAAAGTGTTGGGCGTCGCTAATTAAATTCATGTGACGCAGCTGGCGGGGCAAAAAGCATTATCGACTTTTAGGCGCTGAATATTTCAAATGAAAATGTTTCTGATGTAAACACACGAAGGAGCTGGGGCAGGATAAGGAGCAGGCGCAGGGGCTGCAGCAGGAACAGGAGGAACAGCAGTTTCTGTCGACCTGGGTCCAACGTCAAAGGAAACCGTTGGCAACTGCTATTTTGGCCGAGCACTCGCCTTGTCTTGCCTTGCCTTGCCTTGCCTTCATTTGCCTGTGCAAAGTGTCGCCGACATTAATTTCATTTATTAATTTTTAACTACGCCCACGCACCAAAATAAAAAGCAACTTGATAAATGGGAGCACCAAAATTTCCAAATCTTTCGTTTTTTCGCGAGGCGCATTTTCCTTTTTTCCTTTCGTTTTTTTTTTTTTGTTCCTTTGTGCCGTCCCCCATTTTTGGACAGCATTTTCTCGCTTTCCTTTTGTTGTTGTTGTTGTTAATTTTTTTTAATTCTTTGCTTTTCACTTGAAAGGCGCTCCAAATGTGAAGATGCGCCGCGGTCCGCTAATGTCCTTTCTTTTATCATTAAGTAGACAGCAGCATGGGCGACTTGGGGTTGCTTCTCTGGGGCGTGGCAAGCGGCCATCAAGGCATTATGCCTTAGAGGGGAGAGGGGGGGGGGGAGAGGGGAGGGGTTGGGTTTCTGGAGTGCTGCCTGTACAGGTATTTGCGGCCATTAGCAAGCAGGAACGCGATGTCTGCTTAAAGTTCTAAGGTTGCGCCGTTGAAAAAAAGGAGATAACGATAAAAATAAAAAATATATATAAAACATAAATTCCATGATGTGCTCTTATTTATATTTATCATTGCGGCCAAAAATTGATATTTTAATAATTAATAAATGCGACCGAAAAACAATTAAAATTAAAAATGAATGTGTTTTCATGTGTTCCAGAGAGCGAACAATATATTAAATGATTAAAATGCTGGGGAAAAGTAAAGAACCAAAAGCTAAAACAACGGACAATATAAATAAGTATATATAAGTATATAAATATGTATTTAAAAGGTTGTACAGTAAATAGAATGTGCCACCAGTGTAAAGCCTGCTGCAGATAGTTGTGGTATATAATATATAATTGATATTTTAGATGATTTCATTCGGCACAGAAAAATATGCGGAATATATATGAAAGCAAGTAGTTATTTTGTTTTAATATATCATGTCTTCCAATAAGGCTAAATTCACTATAATCAATTTAAGAGAACTGACTCAGTTTAAAATAAATCTGTCTAGGTAGCCTTTGGTTTATGATATACAGCTTCTCCTGAAATTGGCATACAACACAATATTAACTCCAATACTACACAAAAGTACAATTGAAAAAGTGATAAATTCGTGTTTAAAAAGTAAATTTCAATTTCTCTTATATATAGAGTAAATTTCTGCTGATATTATGGGCATCTGTGTGCGTCGCTTTCTCTGCCCCAATAAGCCCGTATGTAGCACGGGCTGTCGCGCTACTTTTTACTATCCGGGTGGAGGCAGCTACACGGGTTATTGGCTATGCAACAAGCATCATGGTTGGGGGACTAAGACTACGGCGGAGCGGAGTGCCGCGTACTATGCGAACAAGAAGCAACCGCAGGGTCAGCTCATCTACAATGGTCACTGGGCGCAGGGTAAGCGGCAGGGTTGTGGCTCGATGATACGCAAGAGGGGCACAGATATGCAGACAGTGTATACTGGACAGTGGTACGATGACATGAAGTGCGGCGAGGGCAAACAGTTCTATCCGGACGGATGCGTCTACTTTGGATGCTGGCTGCGGAACCGTCGTCATGGTCTGGGCATTCAGTGGTATGGCGATGGCAGCATCTATGTCGGCGAGTGGGAAGCGGATTTCAAGCATGGATTGGGCATACACTTCTATGGTAGGTACTACTACAATAATTCGGCATAATTTTGACGCTGAGCGCAACTCAGCATATTATTCAAAAAGTATATTTAAAGGAAAGGGGTTTTTCTTTTCTTAATATCGACATTTAAGAGTATTTTTGGCTTAATAATTCATTTAGTATTTTAGGATTTCATATATGCAACAACATTTCATTTTCTAAAATTCAGGTAATTTTTTTGAGTGTATTCACTAAAACAACATCTGCTACAAGTCAAGTTTCCCCAATCTCAACCAGCTAATGGCAATCGCTACGAGGGCCATTTTTCACGTGGTTATAAGAATGGCGAGGGTGTCTTCTATCACATGCATACGGGCCAGATACAGAAGGGCATGTGGGAGAATGATAATGCGAAGACATCACTGATGCAGGATGAGCGGGATATTAGACGCAATGATGAACCTACTCCATATCCGATACCACGCAATTATCTCACATATCCCAATGAGATAATGAGAGAGCTTTTCCAACGCTATCGACCGCGGGCCGACTTACCCCATCGTCGCTTCAATGACAAGGTCAGTCTGGAGTTTGTGCACAGCTCTCGGCAATTTGCCTCATTCGAGGAGCGACTGTCGACTCCGACGGCTCTCGATCTCCATCCCAACTCGGGCTATGTGTGTACCTGCAGCTGCAGTGCTGAGATACCAGCAGTGTTGTAAAAAGTCTGTTTGAGATACCCTATTAAAATATATGGGACACATGTCAACCACATAAAACATATTTGGGGTTAGACCAATACAAAAATATTAAATAATAGACAGCGGGAGGAGGAGGAAAGTGTGAATTGTGTATGAAGTGCAAACACCTGGTTTGGTCAGCATTTTGAGACTGGGTTCGCTGCTCTTGGGCCTGCTTTTGTCAGCTTTGGGTAAATCATTTCACATGCAAATTTGATGGTCGAGTTGTTGTCTCCTTTGGGGATCCCATTTAAAAAAGAAAAAGGTGCTGCTCCTCTTCAACACAATATTCAATTCAATAAAGGATAATTTTAATAGTGAGAGATATTTGCTTTTTTCATAACTCAAGTTGGTCTTGATTGAATAAAGCATGTTGGGATAAGCTCTTCTTGGTAGGCAGCAATTTAGTTAGAACTGTTTATAAATTTTGCTTGGAATACAGATAAATTTGTATGTTTAGATACTTTAAATGCTTTAAAATACAAACAATAATCGACTTTATCTAAAATATTAATGTAAACATCCATATTTATAGCAGTTGATAGAACTGATCATAGACCAGAGAAGAGAAGTCTGTATTACTTTGATAATTTTAGATACTGATTTTATACTCGGCTAATGCAATATTCAATATCCGCAATTGATTTGAATAAATAAAAATATGCATTACTCTCGCTAAGTTTAGGTTCTTGATAATTGGCTCTATATATCTTAAAGATACCTGAAATGTTGAATGCTGAATAGATCAGAGATGAGAAATCTTTATTACTTTCGATACGTTTAATTACTTGGCAGACTAATCGACTAAATCTGCATGCTCCCTTAAGCAATCAACTAATTCCTTTATCAATATTTATAACCAAAGCATACCCATTCATTTCATACACATTCTCTAAAACTGTAAATCATTTGAATTTCTGGTTACAAAAGTGGTAGATTTTTTTGTTGGTATTTTTGTACCCAGCATCAACCCTTTAGATTTCTATTATTATTTTTTCATTTGCATAAAGTGCAGCTGCAAAAAAAAGTGTGTGGTGTCATTTTTTATGTGAATGTGTGTGTGTGTGTGTCCCAGCCATAAATCTAACTATGCAAATGTAGAAAGATGTGCAATCGACGCGTGCCTCGAAAACTCTTTTATATGCTAATTCTCGAAGGTGCCTTCAATTAAAGCCCCGATCTTGTTTTTCGTTTTGGAATATGTACTTCAGAGTATCTATGTCAGCTGATAGTTGCTCTGATTGCCTATTATCGATAGTTAAACACTTCGTCTAGAACAGAAATCTGTGGGTGTTGTTGATGGGTGTTGTGTTTGTGTGTTTGTGGATTGGATAATCATTAATTAATCCAAAGGTTCTGAACAACAATTGCACACGATTAATAATTGATGGCGGCTCAAGGAAAGCCATCGTTGAGATTTCTCAAGACAACTCAACGGTTCGGTTGGATTTGGTTAATACGGTTGACTGGCTGGAAGGGGGGGGGGGGGGTGTTGTGGGAGGGGTGGCAGGAAGTGAAGCGAAGCTGCCTGGCGGCCAAATAATTGCAAGTGACAGGCGCTTTAATTTTTCTTCCTCTTTGGCAGCTTATTTTTAGACGTGGCCTAAAGAGAGAAGGACGGGGCTCAGGCCCGGTTGCCATGTTTATGATAAACTTAATTCAGTGTAAATGAGCGGCCCCAATGAGCGTTGACAGCTAAGGTGGGGGCACTGTTTGGGGAGGCAGTTGCTCGATAGAGCGGGGGAGGTGCGTTGCTGCTAACCACAAATCGGGGCAGCAGCAGCAGCAAACTTTGGCACAAAACTTCAAATAAACAAATCTGTGAAAGAAAAGCAAATGACGAAAAAACAACAACAGCAAAAAATAAATACAAAAAAAATATACAAAAACAAAAAACAGTCGAAGACGAAATGAAGAAAACAGCTGAAACTTTTTGTTCGATAGCTTTTGCGTTTGCAGTTGAATGAAATGGAAAATTTTAATTGCTCTGTGTGTGTTCTCTTATGTGGGTGTAGGTGTGTGTGGGTGGTGTGGGTGGTGTGGGTAGTGTGGGTGTAGGCGAATAGCAATTCAGTTATCTGTCGTAAAACATATTTGCATATCGATTAAAAACACAGTTGAAATATATATATATTTGAAGGAGTGGCGAGAGTAGTAAAATTCAAATATGAAAGCAAATATTTTTTTAAATACACATCAATCAACACACAATGAAGAAGAAATCATAAATGGTCAAACTTTGGAATATTTGTAAATGTAGAAAAATATATTAGCCTATCAATTGTACCGCTTAACTACCCAAAGTTTGGCCTATTTGGAAATCTAGAAAAGGATCTTAGCCTACAAATGTATTGCCAATACTTTTCAGAAAAAAAGGAGACACAATTAAGCCAAGCATTTTCATTAAGCTTATGGCCCATAAAAGGGGTTGTTGTTGGCGTCCTAAAGTAATGGTTACAATCTAGCCAGCCCGCACCCCCCACACACACACTCTTTTTATGTCCCCGCTCACATTTCTAATGAAATTTAAATTATTGCAATGCGCACACAAGCGCAAATGAGAACACAACAACGAACATGAAAGGACTCACATGGAAGCCACTGACAAGAACGAAAATGATGCTGATGCTGATGCTGGATGCTGATGACGACACTGAGACGCAAAAATTTTCGTGGCCTGTTTCTCATTAAGCTGATGCGAGTTGGAGAGTTGGGGAGAAATGAGAACCCAAGCGCGAGTTAAGGCCTTAGCTCAGTTGTGGCAATAGGCAGCCAGTGAAACTCCAACTCAAACTCGAGCCACACACACGGGTCCCATAAATTATTCGGTGCGTCGCCAACCCTTGGAAAAGCGCGGCGCTAACTTTTTACACAAGACTCTTCTGAAGCAGGAGTAGAAACTGAAGCTGATGCTGATGCTGGAGACGCAGCATTTGTTATAAATTAAGTGATGGGGGTGCTCAACGGCAACGTGGTGTGGGATGGGTGTGTGTGGGTGTGGAGTGTGGAGGGTGTAGGTGTGGATGTGGGCTGGGGTCGAGACGTTTGGAAGGTGGGCTCATTACCTCTGGCAAGCTGGCTGGATGGCTGGATGGCTGGCTGGCAACCCTGTGACTTTTAACGTTAACAACATGGCGAAACAAAACTTGAATAAAATCGAATGACAATTGCAAGAAATCTGGCAGTGACTATTTTATTCTCTGACAAACAAAAAAAATAATTAAATGAGATAGGCTAGAGCGTAATACTGATATAATTGTATTATAAAAAACATATCAATCAATTAAATTAAGTACTTCATATTGTGAGCAATTCATTTCACATTAATTCATATGTTATTTTAATAGTTTATATAGTGTATGTATATATTCGATTCAATTTTGTAAACTTTAGTTTCTCAATGCTTGCCAAACGGCACAACAAAGTGTAAACTCCTCTTTTTGAGAGTGTGCGTATTTAAAAAGTGTAATGAAAAAAAATTTGCATATTTTACATTTGGCGGCAACGGCTGCTGCTCTGCAGATGGGGTTGTTGTTCTGGTTGTTGTTGTTCTTACTGCTGGCACGTTTGAGCTTTTGGCCATAAATAAAGCAGCAAAGAAGCAGCAGCAGCTGGAGGGGAGGGTAAAAGTGTCAGGGCAGGGGCAGGGGTACGGGCAGGGACAAAAAAGTCGTTGCAATGATGGCTGAGAGTAGAAAAACTAATTGCAAATGCAGATTGTGCGGGTTAAAAGGGGTGAGAGGAGAGTGTGTTGGGATGGGAGAGTAAGAGGGTTGTTCTGCAGCCATTACCAAGATCTTTTGTTTTAACCCTTTCGCTGTCCCCTCAAAAACTGGACACGAAGTTGGACCAATGAGCAGTCTTAACCCTTTCGAGGCAGAGCTTGAGTAGGGTGAGCTGAAATGAGCAGGGCAATTGCCACACCCACAGCATGGCCGCCCACTCAATGTCTTTCTCTCTCTCTCTTTCTCCGTTACCGCCTCACTTATTTTGTGGATTTTTTTTTTGTTTATGTTGGTTGAAAACTTTGATTTCATTTGATTTGCTTAAAATGCGCCAAAGTTTCTTCAACTGGAAAGCACAACAAAAACAACAACAGCAACAACAAATTGGGTAAGCAGAAGAAGAAGAAAAATCTGAAAAGTATATGAGCAGGCAAAAAAAAGAAGAAATATGCGGCAAAACAAATTAACAGTCCAGTGATTATTGTCAAAAGCCAGAAATGAGGAAGCAAAACAAGTGCCTATCAACATGAAGGAACTTTTTCAGAGCAGAGCCTGGCTCGCTCCCGCACCTAACCACCACGCCCCTTCCCCGCCCCCGCATCGTCCAGGCGATTCAAAATTAGAAAAGGGCATAATTTTAATGAACTTTTTTTTAAGAAGTTGCCCAGTGGCCCACTGTCCTCCCCCTGCAATTCCCGCCCACGCTGCCTGCCCCACGGTGTGGCACTCATGTAAGCAGCAGCAGCTGTCGAAAGGACTTACAAGTTTTTCCCGTTTTTCCTACTTGTGCTGGCTTTTGACTTGTTTCGCCAGCCTTCTTTGATTCCAAACGCGCACTTGTCTCAAAAAGTTTCTCTTCACTCGGCTCTCTGCCTCTCTCTCTCCCCCTACTTGCCTCTGTTTCTCTCTCGTCTCTCTGGAGAATATGAATTCTGTGTACCTGCTTGGGCATTAATCACTTCCACTCAATCTCTGCTGGGTTCTAATTGCAACAGCCTGTGGCACCGTTAACCAAACAAAGCGCGTGCCTCGTCTCCGCCCCTTCTCCTGTTATCCAACTGTAAGTCTTAATGTGGCTCAAATTCCGAGCTGCATGCTGCATGCTGCATGTTGAATGTTGCATGCCAAATTGACGCACACCTGCCTCCGCCCATGCTGCTGCTTCAGTTCTTGCCTCACGCCTGATTGCCGCCAAGTGTCCTGCAAATAAAGTGCCAGCTAGCAGAACAAAGAAACAAATTCTACAGATCCTTATGATCCATTTCATTATGCAAAATGAGAGCACGCTGTAAAAAGAGATAAGACCAAGGGGGAGGGGCAAGCAGCAGTTGAATACAGATGAAAGATACATTTGACAGCTGCTGACTGCGGCAGGTGAGATGCAAATCCTTTCAATCTTATAATTAGAGTTGAACTATCGAATTTTTAACTGAAAATTATTATGGCACTCATTTATATATATTCATATAATCATATAGTAACATACCTCCCACTCTAAGACAAAAATCGACAATTTCCCTTTTTGAATAGTATTCAGAAAAGTATTTGAAGGATTTCTCAATGCACAAACAGCTAATGAGTGTGGACAATGAACTC